AAAAAAAAAACCAGAAGATCTAAAAAGTAAATGAACAACCTACATAAAAACTGGCCTAATGATGAAGTATAAAAATCAGAAAGCCAGAACCCAAAGTAACGAATAGACCAAAAGATCCGAAATGTAAAACCAGAAAAGAAGAGATCTGTATTATAAAAAAAAAAAAAAAAAAAAAAAAGTTATTTTTTTTTTTTAGCAAAAATCGAAACTAAAGACACGCAAAAATAGCAAAACCTTGCCCGAAAAGACTTACCAGAAACACAAGGCCCACAAATCTCATGCCAAAACCTCGTAATATACGTTCAAGATCAGTAAAGGATCTTGAACAAAATTTATTTGCCGAAGAAATGTCTCTGTAAAGCCAAGACCGAAGAGAACTTTATCCAAGACACACCGGAAGCGAAGATGCACGAAAATTCTTCCAACACCTTGTAGAAAGGTCCAAGCATGAAAGAATCTAACGTGATTTCAGCCGAAAGAAAGTTCAAGGCTCCGGGAAGATCCAAGAATCAACATACAAAGCGAAAGATAGCGGCGAAGAGACCTAAAAGTCAAATGTAAAGCTGTGTAAAAAGGTATATTTGATATAAAAAAAAAAAAAAAAAAAGCGTGAAACAGAAAAAGGAAACGATAAGAAAATTAAGAAAAAGATCAAGATTAGTGGATGATCAATGTACATATATATATGTGATGATCACGTGAGTGATGTCATGAACACCAAAAATCGCCGGAACAAACAAAATTTTGACTTTCTTGGTCTTTAGAAAGTCACAGAAGCCCCGATCTTAAATAATAATCGTCCGGAAAGACCCTAAACAAGTGAAAGAAGATTAATAAACTAGGGGAAATCAAGTACAAAAAAAAAAGAGAGAAGTATAATACTTATCTTTATTCTCTAAACTTGGAAACCCGTATTAAAGCAAAGACCTTAATAACAAAAAGAAATATATATATATATGTATATATATTTTATATCTTTAATTACTTAATGAGAAACTTTTTAATTTTTATTTTATTTTATTTTATTCTTCTTTATTTTATTTAATCTTCATCCATATTATCTTCTTCTTCATCATTATTATCTTCTTCTATTTCTTCTTCTTCCATTTCTTCTTTATCTTCTTCACCCGAATTCACATCATATACCTCTTTTAACCTTTGTCTATCCTTCTCTATTTCTATTCTCATATTCATTATCTCTAACACCTCATCCATATCATCCCTTAAAGCATTAAACCCTCTTTTGAATTTCTTCTTTGCCTCCCACAACATATCATATCTTCTTCCTTCTTTTTCTAATACACCTCTAAACCATTTTTTCCTTGCTTTTCCTTTTTCTTTTTCTTCTTCTAACTTCTTTCGTAACTCTTCATTTTCTTCTTCTAACTCTCACATATACATTTCTTCCCTATATTGTAAATTAACATTTTATTTTATTTTTATTTTTATTTTTTTTTTCTTCTTTTCTTATCACTCTTTGTTTTCTTCTTCTTTTCTATAATTATATTATATTAGTGTTGTTATTTCTTATTCTATTATTATGTTACTACTACTTTGCATTTACTCTTTTCTATTAGGATGTTTCTTACTTAATTCTTTGGTAGTGCATGGCATGTTTGAATTTTCCTTTTGTTCTTCTTGTTTTTTATTTTATTTATGTTGGGAAGATTTCTTTTAACGTATTTTAAAGTTCAAATAATATGACCTTAATGTTATTTGATTGGATAATATAGTAACACAATTAATAGTTTTAAGGAGTACAATTTTAAATTTTAGTAGTTATCCTGATATGGACAGCCGGTGCGGATGTCTATCTGTAGTGCAGAGGACTAGAGTTCGAGACCAGTGGAAGGGAGCTAACCTTCCTGGATACAGATTCTATAGGGATATGGATGGCCCTTCATAAGTGAAATATTAGAATAACAAAGTTTTTTTTTTATTATTTCATTAAAGTTTTTTTTGTTTTTATTTTATTTGTTGAAGTTTTTTTTTTAACAACTTAACAATTTTTCTTTTTTATTCTTTAATTATTTTAGATTATTTTATCATGTTATTACTTGCCTTTACCTTTATAATGTTGTTTGTTTATAGTGTGTGGTTTATCTTTTTATTCTTTTTGTTCTTTGTTAAATTAGAAAATACACAATTGTTTTATTTTTATTCCTCTTAGTAGTGAGAAAATTTCTAAGTTATAATTTCAAGCTAGGAAGATTTTATCATGTACTCTTGAACATTAATGCTTGGAAGATTCTACCACATACACATTAGTGATAATTATAACTTTCTTTCTTTAGTATTATTATTATTTTTTTTTTTTAAAAAAAAAAACTCTATTTTATTATTTTATTTTATTTTATACTCCAAGTTTTATTTTATTATAGTTGAGTTGTAGAAGTTTTAGTTATAGTTGAGTTTATTTTGTAGGAGTATTATTCTGGTTACAGGTAAACCAAGGAACCTAAAACCCATGAATTATAAAATTTTAGAGATTGAGAAGGTAATGTTATTCTGGTTACAGATAAACCAAGGCACCTAAAACCCATGAATTACAAATTTTAGTATAGTTATTATTATTTTTTTTATTTTTTTTATTAGAGTTAAATTTTTATTATGTTAGATTTATTAGCTCAGAGAACTTCGCTTTTCTAAGGAGGGAAATGTGATGAAATTATAATATTATAGTATTATAGTAGTTAGTTTATAGCATGTGACTATTTTTCTAGCACATGACAATTACCCTTTTTATTTGTGTATTACAATTAGTTAAACTTACTCTGTATAGGAGTACTGCGGCCTATATGCAGTCTATGATCCATGCATATGTATTTTACAAGGCCTATGCATCCTATATAACCCACACACCCCTGTAAGGTTTATACAACCTACACCACCCAAAACAATCCACTTATTTTTAGAGAACCTATTAGATTTCTTTTCCTTTATCTCTAAAACATGTATTTAAAAGCATTATTTTTACCTCTTTGTAATAACAAGTTCGATATATAAAATTCTTAAGTTCTTTATAAATAATACAAAAACGATCTTCATCCGAATGCCTTCTGTGTAAAACCCATCTCTCCGGCACGCATTGTGACTTAATTCTTGGTACAGTTCATAACATCTAAAGACTAAAATAATTTTAAAAGCTAATAGCTCATGATACAGAAAAAATATAATAAAAAGGAAGCCGCTAAATTGTAGCTATGTTAATTTGCTACAACTTAACGGCTTTATTTTAAAAATAAATATTATATATTTTTGATTTATAACAATTTAAATATGCTTTATTTTTATATATTTTTATATGATATGTCAAAAAATTAACAAAATTGTGACAAGTCACATGTTTTGGCTCTTGGTTATTGGCTAATTTTTAAAAAATTTGTTAATTAATAAAATTTTAGTCAATAGAAAAAATTTTTTTAGCCAATCAAAATGCAGGAAATCAACAAAATATCAAAATTTAATATAAAATTTTTTAAAATGGGACAAAATTTATATTTTAGTCTTTAGGTGTCGCACGCTGTATTCTCGATAGAATATCCAGAATTTTCACCACAGTATAATAAATTAGCCAGAATTAAGTTTTTAAGAAAAAAAAACTGAACAGACTAATTATTAAAGAAGGCTTATTGCTTTAAATATTCTTTCTGTTTTTGCTACTAATACTATTGATAATTAAATAATTTATATATTTAATTTTTTGTATTATTCTTATAACTTGATGATTTTATAATTCATACATTAGCAAAATTCTAAGATTACAGGCTTGACTATAATATTGAATCATAGTTTGAATTATAGGCTTCAGATAGAGCTTGGTTCTTGATGTTTTTGCTTAATATGGCAATTCTTAGAGCTAATATTAGAAATAGGGTAAGATTAAAAAAATATTATTAAAGAAATTAGAGTTAAAGTAAAGTAGAATTAGTATAAGAAGTTAGAGTAGCTAAAGATTAGAGCAGTGTTGTATATAAGACAATTTTGAACATTTTTCAAATTAAGATTACTCAAAATTTTATTAAGATAATCTATTTTAATTTTTTTACCAATGAGTCTAGCATCTAAAAAATATATAATTATATATTTTTTTAAATTACTTTATTGATTAGTTAAATATAGGACATAGGCTTGGGCGATTTTAGACAATCTTGGATATTGGACATTTTACATAGTATGGACACATTCTATATACAACACTAGATTAGAATTAGTTTTTTTTTTTGGCAAAGATGACTCTAATTGTTAGCGAGATTTTATTAAGCAAGTATTAAACACTATACATTATGATGAAGGTACATCAAGCTACATGTATACCTTTTGAGTGCTTATTTAAATAGTCTGCCCGAAGGTTCTACACTATCTGCCATACCTACACCCCAACTAGGAGGGTACCTATTTAAACCTTCTGGTCTTAACATATTTGGCCTAACCCTACCTAATACAGGTGTAACTCACTATATGGGTAGTAGATTTTGCAACACCACTATATTTACTAGCCAACTTAGAATATTTAACTATCCTTAAGAGTAAACCCAACAGAGCGGTACATGTCCCACATATATATTCACTTGCATGTTCGGCAACTTCTTCCTAACTAGTACCTGTTGTGCTACCAATACCAGGTTCGTATCTCAAGCTACTTTTTAAAGTACTGCTATAACCCGATTCATATCTCAAGCTACAAACTTTCTAGTTAGTCTCCCATTACGTACTCATTGCTTTTAATCAGTTCACAACAACCCCAGTACCCACATTTGGAACCATTTTCTTATCCAAATTCTCTATCGGTTCCTCTCTTACTTCCAGCCAGCAATCTGGAGAGTTGGTCTGCCCAGGCTTTAGGTGTCTGAAAGACACCCTCCTCTTGGTTCATACTTTCGGAGTATATGACCTTTTTCTCTAATGCAACAACTAGAGATGTGCAAATGCAATTTTTTTTGGCTTTACATCACATTATGTCGCATGATGCATTATGCAATTCTGTATAATATACTATGGACCTCTCAAAACCTATATGCAGTGAACTGCTTTGTATTATTACTGAGAGTTATCAGATTTGAAAACATAAAATATTAGATTATATAGTAGAAAAAGACCCAGTATATTGATTTTTTATTGGTTTTACAGGCTATTAATTTGATAGAAACAAGTGTCTATAAAGCTATTGTTGTTGAAATAATATGGATCAAATTAAATAATAACTTCTATGTGCATTTTTAAATTTTAGGCAACTTGTATCGCATTATGCAGCATTATGTAGCATGTAACATCGCCTGTATAATGCATACGGTACATCTTTAGCAACAACCCAGCGGTTCAGCTAGTGTGTCCTCCACCATAGAACCTGGTCGCTTGGTTCTCCGATCTTAGGCCCGGTTCGAATTCAGCCCTCCTGTGATATTGTCAAAAATCGCTGTTATATCCAAATTCAGGACTTCCCAAATAGGTTTTTAGTTATACCAGATTTATTGCACCAAAGCTCCCATTACTAAATAGTGTGACTGAAGTTACAGATTTAGTTCTAAATTCAACCGATAAGTATAGCCATTAACTGAACACGGTTTATTTTTCAAATATCGTTACCAGTGGGATTTGAACTCTAGACCTGCCACTTGGAGAGGGTAACGACTAGACTATTACACTAAATTGCCACATCTCGGGTAGTATAGAATTAGTATAAAAAATATATATATATATATATATATATATTTTTGGTATTAAGGTGAGGCCTTGCTCATATCTTTATTGAGTAATTTATATAAGTAATTACATAGAAACTATATAAAAACTAAATTTGTATAATAACAAGTATTTATAAATTACATGCAAGAATGGGAGCTCAGACTAAAAGCTAAAGCTAATTATCTGCGACCTAAACCTACTAGAGTGGTCAAGACTCACCTAGATTTTAATAGTAAGTATGTAGTTTGTAGAAGTACTATATTGTATTCATGCTATTGACCATTGGTTGTATTTTTGTATTGCTTGTCCTTCAGACGAGCAGTTGTTGTTGTCATTATGCTGTTGGTCTGGTAGACTACATGGGCAACTATATATAAATCTTTTCCATGATCTTTTGCTTTGACTTTGTGTTTGTTTGTGTGTAGTTTGTTTGTCTTGGTTAGGGATTCGTATATTGTTTTGCTTTTTCCAGTTTGCAAATCTTTTACAATATGGCTTCCAAATTTGCTCATAAATCTCTGCAGATATATGTAGTAATGTTTGAATTATAATATCTGCTGCTTCTTTGTGTTGGATATTTACTGCTTGTAGCGTTTGTAGCAAGTAGGATGAAATAAGTCCTTTCATAGTAATAGGTAGTGTGTGTATTTGTGGGTTGAAAGAAAGAATGTTGTTGAAAGAAGTGTGAGATTCGATAAGACTTATGATTGCCCTCTGCTGAATTAGTGTTTGGTCACTGCAATGTTTGGTAATTATTTTTGAGATTGAAGAGTGAATGATTTGGCTAATTGTTTGTTGGTTGTAGCATGTAAGCCAGTGCCTAGATGAGTCTATAGTATTGTATGCGAAACAGGTGTTAGCTGAAAAGATTTTAGGCATAATTGTGTGGAAGTGATAGTAAGTTGGCAATTTATTAAGCAGGTTTTTAA